TGGCTTATCTCCTCCCCACAACCCTTCAGTAAGGGGGTGTCCAGTTGCCTACAGATGGGCTTTGGGTCTCCCCTCTGCACTCACCCTCATTTACAATGATATGATTTTTTGTTCTTTGATGCCTGGTACGTGATCCCTTCGACATTTGTGATCACGCAGGCTGGTGTGCTTCTTCCACGTGGGCTTTGTTGCTTCTGAGCTAGAGGGCCAGTAGTTTATCTTCAAGCCTTTAAGACCCCAGACGCTAAATCTTTTGATAGCTTGGCACCATCAACTCTCTTCACCACATTTGCTTATGCACCCACTCTGTCTTCAGCGACCATGTCAGGAAGGTGAGTGTCATGGAATGCTAGGTTAATAGAACAAAGTGTTCTTGCATTGAGTAAGTACTTGAGTGAAGGTCCAATATCCATCTGCTGCCTTAATACTAAACTTATAAATATATCCACATAGGTCTATTTCCCCACCATCCTATATAAATACATTTACACATGTGCATGCTGCAGCTGTAATTAGACCTCTATAAATACCCTGTGCCTCCTAGTTCTTTCCTCTATTTCTTTTTACTTTCCTCTTGTCCCACTATCATGCTCAGCCTTCATTTGGGTTTCAGTAATTTGTCTTGGTTACATTGCCCTTGCTGAATCCCTACCAGGCCCCTCATACCCTCCTTGCCATTAATTTTGGATCACTTGTTGCTCCCCTGTCCCTGGGTTGGTCAACACCACCTCCTTACCCCTGCTACCCCTTCTCCCATGTCCCCCCACAACCATTGGTCCTGTTGTTTTCTCCTCCAGACTGTTCATCTAGCCTATCTTATCTAGATAGACCTGCAGAGATAATAATATGCACCAAAAAACAAGGCATAGCAAGAAAAAGCGACAAAAGATAACAAAATGATGACAACAAAAAAGAAAGCCAATGACCCAGAGAAGAATAAATTACTTTTTTTAGAAAAAGAAAAACTTTAAAAATAAAGAAAGATCTGTAAATAGATCAAGGTCTGAATTTTGACCTCTAGGCATGTCCTCCAGTGAAGTCCAATGGGGTGCCACGCTTTAGCCCCAAAGTCTATACTTTGTACTCCCTCAGGAGCTTCCTGCTCTGCTCCCCCCGTTGTTCTGCTGCACGCCTTTAGTGTTTTGCCTTAGTGTTGTGGGGTCAGACCAGGCCAGTGTTGTCCCCTGTAGGGCCATGGGTCAGTGAGAGACGTCGTGTCTCATAGTGGGATCCGCCATATGGTACACTCTGTGCACTGGCTGTTCAGATCGGGGGATATCATCCTCCAGGCTTGGTGGGCCAGGATGTGATCCACTCTCTCTACCTCCCCCTTCACTTGCTCCAGTGTGCTCTAATCAGACATGTCCCTCTCCCCTAGCTGCAGCTTCAGTGCCCTCCTCTAAAGTAAATTCTTCTGGGGGGAAGGGCAGTTGTCCACATAGCTGGTATGGGGGTCAAGCTCTCAGACCCCTCCGCTGGTTCCCCTCTCCACGCCGGCACACTGCATTCATATCCAGGAACACTGGATTGAAGTCTGGTCTCCCTCTTTCCCTGTGAAGACACAAACAATACCCACCCTTTGGGTGGGTTAGTGCCCTATTCCCCCGCCACACATCTCTAAACTCTTAATCCTATCAAGTCCCAAATTACACCAGATTATGTAACTACCACACTCTATAAATATGTCTTTTGCCTCCTAATTCTTTACTCTATTTCCTTTTACTTTTCTTTGGTCCGACTATCTTGTATGATCTGATCTGAAGGTTTTTCACTCTGACTCACAAGATATAGTATAATCTTACCTTGTTCTAAAGCAGTCTTACATTTTTCTCTTTCTGATATACATTTCTCCTGCCTAATGATAAATAAGCATAGATAAAGAGATTAGGGGGCCATTTTCAAGACACGACATATATTTGAATAATCATGCAGTTACATTTCTATGTATTTCTCCCCCTTTTTTGATTCCATACTTGTTACCCATGGACTATCGTCCTTGTATACTCCTAATTTACAATGAGTAAAAAAATAAATCCAAAAAGGCTACAGATAAACCCAAGGAAAGACAGAAAGAGGCTGATGATGTGTGCCTACAGACTTAGTTTTTTTTTTTCTTCCCTTGCTGTCCCACATCGCGTGATATGGCTGGAGGGTGAGAAGAGGAAGACCGAATGCAACTTACTCTGGGAATTAAAAAAAAAGGATGAGGAACTCAGAGTCTTAAAATGAGAGCAGAAACTGTAATCTCATGAACCAGGCAGTCTAATGGTTCACATTCTTTCCCCGCATTTTTTCTACCACACACACATTAATCTTTGGGCACTCCCACTGTCCAACAATCCTGTAAGCTCCTAAGTTTCCCTTACTAGGAAGTGGGTCACTTGGACACTTTGGGAATTGGTGGTGTACAGAGCAAATATCATGCTCTGACCAAGAGAGTTGTAGCTCATAAGGATTCTCCTTAGAGGCAGAGTTGAAATAAAGAGATGATCATTGCTGTAGTGACATGACAATGGTAGTAAGATGGAAATAAATTACATATTCACGAAATATTTTAAAGAAAAAACAGAACGGATTCAATGATGGATGTGAGAGATAACGGAAAGTTAAATACATCCAAGTTTCTGTCTTGCATTATTAAATGCATAGCAACATCCAATTTTATCCTCATCAAACCCACTCTTCTGACAAGTTCCAGAATATATTTCTAAGATGCGTGTTGACTTATGATGCCCCCGATAAAAGACACTAATACCCCTCCGAATCCAGCATCATGACTACCAGCAGCTCACATGATGTACCTCTCCAATTCCCCTCTCTCCTCTCAGTACTGTGTTTTATGCAACAAAACATTGCTACAAGTCCCCCCACCAAGAATTCTGTTTCTTGACTCCTGGATTTTCTGTTGGCTGAATGCTCCTTTCTTGTATACATCCCCTTGTTAGATAAATCTCCTTCTTTGGCATTCTCATAAAAATCTCTTGATAATCTTGGTAATCCTACTTCATTTACCATTAATTCCATTTATTGCTTGCCCCCGCACCAGAATGTAACTTCATGATGGTGGGGAGTTTTTAGTAAATTTTACTTGTTATCTTGTAGGCTCTCCATAAATATTTGCTGAATAACTGTATTAATAAAGACTCATAATATCTGGTTCCTCAAATAACATATTACCGATTAACTCTGAATTACAAATAAAGGATTTTATCTAATCTGTTTTTATCTGGTAAAGAATAGTTTTCCTACTCTTAAGACCATCTTTTGAGAAAAACTGAAAGATACATAGATATGTCAGAGTATAAGCAAGAGGTACTATTATTCATCCCTCTCCCAATATATTTGGTGCATGCATGTCCCTATTTTTAATAATAAAGCCACATTTTGAATAGCCATCCTTGTTTTTATAAAGACTATGAATTCCAAAAGCCTTAGGGACATAACTGTACATCCATGCCACCTATTGTGCCTAGCATAATTCTAATGAGGAAAGAGTCACTAGAGGGACTGACCTTCAGAACCTAGCTTTGTAGAGCAAAATGCTGTTATCCCTATATATAAATATGGGAAGGAGGCAGGCCCTTTATAATTATGTCTCTTAAGCAGGGACATTGGAAAACCCGTGGGACTGATACACAAGAGGATATAGAGAGGTCCCTATCTGTCAAGTCCCTAGTGCCCCAGGCCCTAGCCCCACAGGCTTTCCCATGGGCCTCTGGGCAGCATTATAAAGAGGCCTGCTCCTGGAAGGGTGAAGCGGCCCCAGCATCGTTCCTAGGTAAGCATGCCCTCACTCGGGGTGGGGCAGCCCAAGTCTCTTGTCATAAAGGCTCTTGACTACCCTTTTTAAAAATCATTTTATTGGGGACTTGTACAACTCAACGCAATCGATATAAACATCCATTGTGTCAAGCACATTTGTACACTTTTTCGTTAATTATTATTGTTGGGCTGCTTGTCCTCTCCACTGGCCTTAAACCTGGTGATCAGGAATCAGGAAAATAAGCAAAAATAAAATCCCCTTTCCTTGCTTTTTAGAATAACCTTTATTCCATTCTCTGCCTGTCTCATTTCTACTCACGTTTCAAGACTGAAAAGAAGGGTCATCCTTTCCAGGAAGGTTCCTCCGACCTTGCTTCTCCGCCTTATGCTAATATTTGTCACATTGCTCTAATATTTGGTTTGCTTTGCTGCCTCCACCAGGCAGGACGGATGGGAGGGAAAGGAGGTGTGTTGTATCTCTGTATTAGCAGCAACTAGCAAATAACCTTGTACACAACAAATCATATAAGAAAATACTTATGAATAAATTTAAAAAAGAAAGGACACCAGCCCAGTTATCTACTTTGAATAGAGTATCTCTTAACCTTTCTGAAACAGGACTGCCCACTATCCAGACAATAAAGATGTGTACTAGAATGAGAAATCTGTGGAAACGCGAGAAGCTACATTAAGAAGTATGGTCTCTAGGCTCTCTTTTTATGTAAATTAATCTGGAGAGCTTGGGTTGTTTTGTGTTGTTTTTTTCGGAAGAGTTGCTCAGAGCTTACTGAAGAGACTAAGCCTGGGGCATCAGCATAGTGTGGGGCTGGGGAAGAGAAAGATGCTCGCAGATCCCATGGGTCTAGGACTGGCCTCTCTGATTGTGCTCCATGTCCTAGCAGGCTAGCAGGCTGCCAATATGACCTCACCTTTCTCCAGTTCCCCCTCCTCAGTACCAGCTATGAGTTCCTGCAACTTCACACATACCACCTTTGTGCTTATTGGTATCCCAGGACTAGAAGACGCCCATTTCTGGATGGGGTTCCCCCTGCTTTCAATGTATGCCGTGGCGGTGTTTGGAAACTGCATCGTAGTCTTCATCATAAGGACCGAGAGAAGCTTGCACGCGCCCATGTATCTCTTTCTCTGCATGCTGGCAGCCATCGACCTGGCCTTATCCACATCCACCATGCCCAAGATCCTCGCCCTCTTCTGGTTCAACTCGCGCGAGATTACCTTCAATGCCTGCCTTACTCAGATGTTCTTTATTCATGCTCTCTCAGCCATCGAGTCAACCATCCTGCTGGCCATGGCATTTGACCGCTATGTGGCTATCTGCCACCCACTGCGCCATGCCTCGGTGCTCAACAACACGGTCACTGCCCAGATTGGCTTGGTGGCTGTGGTCCGCGGATCCCTCTTCTTTTTCCCACTGCCTCTGCTCATCAAGAGACTGGCCTTCTGCCATTCCAATGTGCTCTCACACTCCTATTGTGTGCACCAGGACATGATGAAGCTGGCTCACACAGACACTTTGCCTAATGTGGTCTATGGCCTTACAGCCATCCTGCTGGTCATGGGTGTGGATGTCATGTTCATCTCATTGTCCTATTTCCTGATTATACGGACAGTTCTACAACTGCCTTCCAAGACAGAGCGGGCCAAGGCGTTTGGGACGTGTGTGTCACACATCGTTGTGGTACTGGCCTTCTACGTGCCACTCATTGGACTCTCCGTGGTACACCGTTTTGGAAATGGCGTGGATCCCATTGTGCATGTTCTCATGGGTGATGTCTACTTGCTGCTGCCTCCTGTGATCAATCCCATCATCTATGGTGCCAAGACGAAAGAGATCAGAACCCGGGTACTTGCCATGTTCAGGATGAGCTGTGACAAGAACCTTCAGGCTGTGGGAGACAGGTGACCGTTCCCACTCAACTTCCCTTTATCTATAATGGTTTGCTAGAACTGGCTCCAAACACTAACTTAGGTCTCTGGGTTGCTCTCTAGCTTCCCTGTTTGGGGTACCGAGTGTTTTTTGAAGCTAGCATGGTTTCCTCTTATACGTCAAAAAGTTGTTGATATCCTGCTTCTATAAAACAATTTAAATTAGCAAATTCATCAGTCCCCCAATAAATAATAAAATGAACATAAGAAGGACTGTCACAAAAGGTAATTGACTTTAAAATATAGAAAAAACCATTTACTATCATGAGTAATCCAAGAAATATTCAGACAATAATTAGATTACATTTTTGCCATTCAATTTAGCCATTTTTATTCATGAAACTAATAAAACTTCACAATAAAAGTGAAGGTGAGTTGAAACAGATATTTTTTAAAACTGCAGAGGATGGTTAAATTGATACCAAATCTTTGAAAAAAAACGTGGCAGTATGTAACAAGAACTTTTAAAAAATTTATATTCTTTAATGCTGTAATCTCACATTTGAAAATGTATCCAAACAAAATGCCCTTAAATGCATGAAACAAACTGTTCAGAAAAGATAGCAAGTACACTGTTATTTGGAGCAATTACATATAACAGATCATAGAGTGAAATACGTAAAAAGACAGCAAAGCACCACGTGACCCATCCACTTGCGGAAATAGTCCCTGGCCTTTAAAAACTGCTGTAAAATGACATAGGCTACGTGTTAAGGGATAGGGTAATGGTAAAGCAACCTGGTAAACATAGTCCCGGAATTGAATACAGGAAGAAAGTTGGAACGGCAACTGATTTGTTACATCTGCATCTCTCATAATAAAAATATAATAAAACATACTTGTGATGTTAGTAAAAGCATTAAGGACATATGATTGATACTAACATGAAAATCAACCTATGCATTGAAGGAAATGTGCTCAAATTACAAGCAATTTATATCTGCCTCCACTTTCCATAGCTATTATAGTCTAGTTTGCATGTTTTGTACATTTTACGTGAGGAAAATGAAACTGGTACTTTATAGAAATCAATGTTTGCCACATTTCTCACTATTAGTATATTATGCATTACATGGGTATTTATCAAAGCTTCTAAAGATAATTCTAATGAACATTTGTAAGGGCTTCCACTGCCCCAAGCACTAGGAGTTCTTTAAAAGTTCTAGCTAATGTTCACAACAATTGTATAAGGTAGCTATCACTTTTGTCCCCCGTTACTAGAAAGAGAAATGAGACCTATATTAGCAAGATGACAGTTTGTAGTCCTACAGCCTTGAAATTAAATTTAATAACCCAAGATGTATTGTCGCAGCCAGTGCGAATCCTGTTTTCTCTCTGCTGTGTAGTAAGATGGATGTGTTTGTATTTGTCCTGAAAGATAACCCTGTTCTAGTTGTGAGCAATAAATACAAATCATTCTCCATGTTTTATAGTCACCTTTCATGGTTTTAAAACCTGCTTCTTTTCAGATTAAGGGAAAATATGTTTGGTCCATTTATCTCATACCACTCTTTAATCATATGTTCCTTTTTCTCATGGTATCCTGTATGTTTCCAACATTTTAAATGTACATCATTTGGTAACTTAGTAGGTATAAGATATAATAAAGTTTTGTTTTAAATTTTACTGAGTGTTATGCAAATTGGTTTTAATTTTAAAAATCTGACAACCGTGAATTTTGTAGTGTCCACTGCTATAAACAATTGGCTCTTAACTCTTCCAGGACTTTGGTACTGACATTCCCAGGGAATTTCAATCCAAAGGGTAGGCTAGGACACTTACTCACTAACTCTGAATGCAGGTTGCTCTCTGGTCTATAACTCACCTGCAGTTTCAGGCTGTTTCTGTTCCCACAGCTTTGGGGAATGTCCTAAAGCATAAAGCATAAGGGAGAGGAACACACTAACTCTTTTACAGAGTTGATGTAAAATAGTCAAAGTGCACAAAAGTGTCTGTCACCATTATAGGTAGACTCAAAGGTGGGCCAAAGAAGTGTGACCTGGAATACATAGAGCAATTACTCTACCTAGGCTAAGGAAACGGGAGAAGCTCTGAGAAAGCTGTGAGTTGATACATCTATATTCTCTTTAACACTACCATTGATGTGGTAATAAGTACTAAAGAAAACACCCATCCCAATTACCTTCATGTCTATTCTAAATCATGGGCACCCCCTATGTTTCAGGGTGAAAATGTATTGGGTTTCGAAGGCTGGGATTTTGTAGATGTACATCGCCAGGCCATTCTTCCAAGGCCCCTCCTGATGGATTCTCACCACCCATTTTTCAGTTAGTGGACAAGCACTTACTCTTTTGCATGCTACTTACATAATCCTCAAGGCAAATATCTGAGCAGATACCCATCTTACACATTCAAACACTGGGGCCATAAAAGGATGACATAACTTCCCCAAGTCACACAGTAGTAAATGGCAGAGTTTAAACTTAAAGGCTGGTCTCTCTGACTTCGGAACACTCTTTATTTTAAACTCAGTGGGAATTGCAATCTCATGAAAGAAGTATGGCATGACTAAGGTTATCTAAGCAGATGCTGAGAACTGACTTCTGTGGGATGTGACAATTCTCTTTTCCTCCGGTGCCTCTGTTATTTTATTTGGAGCGTGCAGGACCGGGTAATACCTGCGGTGCAGAATTGGGAGGAAAGCGCAGTCACAGACATGGACTATTTGCTTTCACAGCTTCCATGTCTCTACTGGAAGGAAAATGAAAGTTAAGCCAATCTTCTCCTATCCTGTGAAGTGCTCTTAAATTTATGTCTGCTTTCCTATTCCATAATGATCTTTCCCAAGAAGAGAAAGTTTGTGTCCTAGAGTGAGCACAGAGCGAACCTGGTGATGACACAAGCTCCAGTCCCTGTTTTGTCACTAGGTGGGTGACTTTATCTAGTTCACATTGTCTCTTTAAATTTACTCTATAAAGCATCATGATAGATTTCTATACCTGCTACATCCCATCCCTATTCTGAATAGTATGTGCTCGGAACACCATTGAGTAGTCATGAAGAATTGTAAGTGGTTCTCAATGCCGAAAGCCTGTGGGACCTTCTTGGGAACTGCTTCTGACCCACGTAAGGAAGCCCCTTCCCTGTGGTCACACGTGCTCTTTGCCAAAACTGGGGAATTTCTCAGCTTCATCTCCAACTCTAGAATACTGCCAATTATAGCTTTCTCCAAAGTTCAAACCTGCCCTCAAATAATATGACATTTCCACCCCAAGATATAGTCACAGACTCTCAAAAGAGGAAGTCTGGGCCAATAGAAAGAGCAAGCAGATCGGTAGTTGATCAATTTCCCTTTGAGGAGCCTCATTTTCTTCATCCATTTTATTATCAACTGTTATTATCAATAACTACTCATCACTATTCCAATGGGAGGTGGTGGCCAATAATCCTTACCTAACAGAGACATTGGTGGGGTGGGGTGGGATGTGTCTTCTGCCTATAGCAAGCAAGCCACACGGCTTTTCTTGAATCACTCACCTGATTGCATTCAACTGGCTACTTAGCATTTAGCAAGGGGACTCTCTCTCCCTTCTCTAACCCCATTCCAGGAGTAACGTGGGGAATGGAGAAAGAATGATGAACATGATAGAACTGAAAATGTTGGCTGAATTTTCTGCACTGAATAAGGAAAACCATGAGAAAGGCCCCAGTTTCCAAAACTGCCCCAACAAAATGTGATTGCACACTAGGAGGGGGCACACTAAGAGAGCTTGTAACCACATACTTCTTCCTCATTCGCGTGGACCAGGGTTTGGAAGAGGGTTTGGCTTCCTCTTCCTCTTAATCTGGAAGGGCTTTCAGGAGGAAGCCTTTTGGGTGCTTAAAGAGCTGAGTGAGCTCAGAGTGGGTGGTCCCAAGCAACTCCTGACGTGAGAGGTTCCAGAGCTAGGAGATTCGGACAAGGGCTCACTGCAGTGAATCTTTCCCAGTGAAACAGTGTCTCCAGGGAATGAGGACCATGGAAACACTGCCCTGTTCCCAGCCATGTTTATCTTGGCCTAGACAGTGGAGGGTACCAGTTTAGAGAGCAAATTCCCCTTGAGAGACCAAGAATCTGAGGTTACCCAGTGGACAAAAACCGTCTCCTTGGCACCAGAACGTCATCTAACCCCATCTCTGAGTAGCATATCATTTGTCTTAAGCTGGATTCATAAGAAAGAAGGGAAGACCACATGTTTGTTGAGTTCTTAGAACAGAGAGTTCCCCAGGCTTTTACTCTTATCATTGGCAGAAAAGCTTTATACTTAATATACATTTATTACCAGAGATTACCAACATTACGTATTTGGGATTCTTCCCTGCAAAATTCACCAACTGGTGCTTACCCAAATGCCTACTTATTAGTATCATTCAATGTTTAACATTCAAAGAGTATTTACACTATTTTAGGCCCTTTATCAAGTGAAAGAAATACAAAAACAAACAGTCCACATTTAGTCAGTGTCACATAAAAAATAAAAGTTTATAAATCCAAGGCCCTCACTGTCCCTCAGGGAGACAGAGCAGGCAGGAATAGGACGGAGAAAGTAGCTCTCAGTGGAGTTTCAGGAAAGCTTCTTGAAAGGGCAATATGTAAATTGAGGGGAGGAAGTGAGGCTAAATAGGAAAAGCAGAAGTAGAGTTTTATGTACAAAACTGTAGAAACAAGAAGCAGTGAGCCAATTACTGACACTGCAAGCTTTATTGCAGATCATTTGCTGTGGCTTCACCTGAGCTCCCAGAAGACAAACACCTCAGCATAGCTACTTCATGAGGGGACGTGAGCCAGTAAGCAAAGTGAGGGCCAGTGGGAAGGATGGGGGGAAGAGAAAGAACAGAAACGAAGATGCTTTATAGTCTAATATTCATCTCAGAAACTTCTTTCTTGGAAAACGGAATAAGATGTTATCCCTTCTGTCAACCACACCCCATGTACTAGTCTAGGTACTTTGAAGAAACAAATCCACAGCGACTCATGTATAAGAGAGAGTTTTATGTAAAGAAAATTGTGCATCCCGAAAACATCCCAACCCAATGCTGACCAAGCCCACAAGTCCAACATTAACCCATTAACCCAACACCAGTCCACAAAGTCCTCCACCTCACAAAACAGAGGCAATGATGCCGACTGCAGGAGGAAAGCTGAGTCAGTGAACGAACAAGCATCTCAGCACTAGCAGGGGTCTCCACACGGCTGCTCCAGCACCCAGGGTTGCATCAGGATAGGTCCATGTAGCTTCTCCTTGGGGATGTCTTGTAGGAAGTCAATCTTGCAAGCTGAAGCAGGGAACTGCTAAGGCAGCTGCACCCGGTGCAACCATCACAAAACAAGAGACCCGAGAACTAGAAAGGCGAGGCTCACCACCCATTTATCCCTCTGCCTTTCAATTAGCCCCACATGTGATTATCGGCCAGGCTGGCACAATTAACTAACTCACCCCATCAACTCTAAGAAAATGTTCTTTACCTCTTTCAGCTTCAAGAAGTTTCCATCAACCCTTGGCAACCCTGGGCATCTGCCTCCAGGGTGGCATGGGATCTGTCTGTCTATATGCCAGTTTTCTCTGTTAATAGACAGCACTAAGGAAGGATCGATTACATGGATCCCCGGTTGTGAATTGAACTGAGCTGCTAATCAAAAGGTCAGCTATTCAAACCCACCAACAGTTCAATAGGGAGGGAAAAATCTGTCTGCTCCTGGCGCAAAGGAATAGTCCTACTCTGTCTTGAAAGTTCACTATGAGTCAAAACGGACCCATGGCAGTGGGTTATAGAGGGACTAGTCTGGGGCTTCACCTACTCTCATAAAGATAATTTAACATAACAAAAAGAAAGTTCTATTTCCAACAGAGATAAATTCATACATTGGAGTTTAAGGACTTCAACATATCTGGGTTTTATTTCTAAAACCATTTTATTGGGAGCTAATACAGATATAATATCATTCCATGGTTCAATTATATCAAACAGTATTTTACAAATGCTACCACAATCAGTTTCAAAATATTCTTTTCCTTCTTGAACTCCTTGACATCAACTCCCTTTTACCCTCCCCCTGCCCTGAGAAGCCCTTATTCTACTTGCTACTGGAGAACAGAAAAACATATAACAAACATTCAAGAAGGTGACCTGCAATGACATAACATCTCTGAGATAAACCCAGTATGAACAAACAAAAGGCAAAGATGCCTGTTCTCACTGTTCTTATTCAACATAATCCACAGCAAATGCAAAAAGGGAAGGAGGAGGAGAAGAAGAAAAGGAGGAGGGGGGAGGAGGGAAGACGAGGAGTAAGAGGAGGGGAAATAAATGGCATATAGATTAGAAGGGGAAAAAAACCCTCTATTTTCAGATTACATGATTATGTATATAAAAATGTTTGAGAAATCTACCTAGAGGGGAAAAAATAGGAAAAAGAAAGAAAGACTAAAAGTGCAAATCTAACAAAATATGAGCAAATCTTTTAAGGAAAAACATTCAAAATGCAGATGAATATGTCATGTTAGTGGGGTAGAAGATTCAACACAATATAATGATGACAATTCTTGTCAAGCTAACATACAAATTTAGCACAATTCCT